CCCAACATCAGTTCCTGTTCATTTTGATCAGGACTCGCTGTCCGCGCCGCCGCGTCCTGTGTCCATTTGAAACAGAAGGCCGCCTGCCCAACAGCGTCCTTCTGTTGTTAGGCATTGTGCCCATTGTTTACGTGCCCATTTCGGGCGTTCAAAATGATGCAGGGCTCGTTTCGATTGTTCCGACTCGATTCAATTCGACTTCGCTGGTTTCCGATTTCGATTCGATGAGATTTGGGTTTCCGATGTGGGCTCCGAACACTAGCCTCCCGATTTCCGCCGGTTCGATGTTTCCCGATTCGGCAGCCGATTTCCGCCGATCCGATCTATTTCGATCGCCGATCCGATTTATCGATTCGATTCTGGGGTCGCCTGATGATGGTCTTCACCTGACGTTGCAGCTTCGGGGGACCTCGCCAGTCATCAAAATTGGTAGCTTTTCTTCTTGTGCCCGACGCGGGCTCAATGCGGCCTCGACGCGGATTTGGCGTGAATTCGACACGCATTCGACGCGGATTCGTTGCGTTCGATACGGATTCGACGTGGATTTGTACGCGACGGGGCAGATGAGGTCCTTCGAAGATGCAAAACAATTCACCTTGATGTACGGGTTTGAGCAGGTGGAGGTGCGTTTGGGACCCCCCCCCACGGTCGTCTTCGATGGTCGAGGGGTCGGGGGCTGAGCGGGCCCCGGAAACGGCAGGGCCACCGTTTCCGAAAAAGTGCCCCTTGACAATGGAAACGGCAAAAAAACGGCGACCAAAAACGGCAACAAGAACGGCTCCAGGATCGGAACCGGAGCGAGAACCCGTGAAAAAACGGCGACGGAACCGGTCAAGAAACGGCGTCGGAACCGGCAAAAAAAAACGCAAAACGGAATTGGTAACAAAAACGGCCCTGTCGTTTCCAGGGCCCACTGAGGTCGGGGGGACCATTTGGATCCTCGGTGAGGCGCCGGGCTGCGCACAGACAGCCCCAGCTGGCCTCAGCAGGCCCCCCGAGTAGTCCCAGCTGTCCTCGGCATGCTCCCGAGTGTAACGTCCAGGGCGGTGTCGACACCGGAGGCGCCACCTCCGGCGGCGCCTCCGGGGCGCTCCGCGCCCCAGACTATTCTCAGGGGGGAAAAATAACACACAGACTCAATGAATCGTCGACTCCCAGGAAGAGATGAGAAAATAGGGGAAGTGGGGGGGGCAGAAACAAACCCAGAAAATATTTGGACATTATGGGGAATCTTGCTATTTGTGTACATTTATTTGTGTGTCTCAGGGCCCCTTCACATTCGGGGGCCCGATGAGGCCACTTGCTACGATGCGGGAGGCTTTTTGAGGCCAGCCGGGACTACCTTTCAGTCGGGCACGTCCTTAGTGGGTCCTGGAAATGGCAGGGCCGTTTTTTTTACCGGTTCCGTTTTGCCGGTTTTTTGCCGGTTCCGTTTTTTTTTACCGGTTCCGTCGCCTTTTTTTGACCGGTTCCGGCTCCGGTTTGTTTGCCGTTTCCGGTCGCCGTTCTTTTTGCCGTTTCCATTTTCAAGGGACATGTTTTCGGAAACGGTGAAAAAACGGCCCTGTAAGGGCACGCCTTTCTGCAGAAGGAATTTGCAATAATAGTGAAAACATAGTCGGGGGGCGATTTTTCTATTTTTGTGGTTGCCCATTTGGGTGTATGTTTTGACTATTTTCTCTTCTTTGTCCAAAATCCGCCTGTAGGGGGGCATGCCCGACCTCAAATCAGCTTGGGTGGCTGTCTGTGCGCAACCCGAAGCCTTACCAGAGTATCCTCACGTGCCCGTTCCCGGCTGTTGGTCGGCCGCCTCAAGAAGCGATAGCGTGCTCGAGAAGAGTTGAGCGCGATGGAATCATTCCAATATGTATGCGCATGTACAAAGATCGCATTTGCGTTCCGCGCAACGCATCTGTGTCCTACACGTCTAACATGCGGGCAGACAAGAGATCGGAGGTGAGGGGGTGAGATCGAAGTGGAACGGAGAGCCCCCCTACCGGGAAATCGATTTCGGTTTCGTGTTCGTGCGTGCCGTGCGGGCGAGGCGAAGCTGCGTGGGCGGGCGAGAGAAAGTCTCCTGTGGCTGAGGCGCGGCCGGACCAAATGTCTCCCTTCCGGGCGGCCGGTGGCCCGCGGTGTCCCGCCGGTGTCCCGCTGGTGTCCCGTGTGGCTGAGGCGCGGCCGGACCAAATGTCTCCCTTCCGGGCGGCCGGTGGCCCGCGGTGTCCCGCCGGTGTCCCGCGGTGTCCCGCGTGCGGTGCCCCGCGGTGTCCCGCCGGTGTCCCGCGGTGTCCCGCGATGATGATGATGATGATGATGATGATGATGATGATGATGATGATGATGATGATGGTGATGATGTGATGGTGATGGTGATGGTGATGGTGATGGTGATGGTGATGGTGATGATGAGAGGATGATGATGATGATGATGATGATGATGGTGATGTTGATGATGATGATGGTGCTGATGATGATGACGATGATGATGATGGTGATGCTGATGATGATGATGCTGATGATGATGAGGACGATGATGATGATGATGATGATGATTATGATGATATGACGATGATGGTGTCCCGATGATGATGATGATGATGATAATGATGATGATGATGATGATGATGATGATGTCGATGATGATGATGATGACGATGGTGCTGATGATGATGATGATGATGCTGATGGTGTCCCGATGATGAGGATGATGATGATCATGATGATTATGTTGATGATCATGATGATGACGATGATGATGTCCCGATGATGATGAGTATGATGATGTTGTTGTTGATGATGCTGATTATGATTGTGTCCCGATGATGATGATGATGGTGATGATGATGAGGTTGATGATGATTATGGCGTCCCGATGATGATGATTATTCTGATGGTGATGATGATGATGTTGATGATGATGGCGTCCCGATGGTGATGATGATGATGATGTTGATGCTGATGTTGGTAATGATGATGATGGGGCCCCGATGATGACGATGATGATGCTGATTATGATGTTGATGATGCTGATGCTGATGCTGTCGATGAGGAGGATGAGATGATGATGATGGTGTCCCGATGATGATGATGATGATGATGATGATGATGATGATGATGACGATGGTGATCATGGTGGTGTCCCGATGATGATGCTGCTGCTGATGATGATGATGATGATGACGATGACTGTGTCCCGATGCTGCTGATGATGATGATGTTGATGGTGATGATGATTGTGATGATGGTGCTGATGATGATGACGATGGTGGTGTCCCGATGATGTTGATGCCCGTGATGATGATGATGTTGGTGTTGATGATGAGGACGGTGTCCCGATTGTGATGATATTGGTGATGATGATGTTGATGATGTTGTTGTTGATGATGATGACGTTGATTGTGAGAGCGGTTGTGATATCGATAGTAAGATCGATAGTGAGACCGAATGTGATATCGATTGTGAGATCGATTGTGAAATCGTTTGTGAGATCGATAGTCAGATCAATTGTGAGATATATCGAGTGAGATCGATTGTGAGAACGATCGAGGGAGATCGATCGAGCGAGACCGATACTGAGATCGATAGTGAGATCGATAGTGAGACCGATCGAGTGAGACGTTGGTTCCTCCCCCCCCGAACCTCCTTATCACCCGAAGGGTGGTCGTATAGGTACGTAGATTAACCAAGACAGCGACCGCTCTTGTTGCAGTGTTCGTCATCACCGTTATCATTTTGTTACTTAATCGCTTCGCTCATTCCGCCGGCCCTGGAGCCCTCTTTAGGGTCTCTTGGGGGCCTCTTGGGGACCTTTTGGGAGTCTCTTGGGGCTCCTTGGCGGCGTCCTGGTGGCCCCCAGGGCCTCTTGGGGGGCTCTTGTGGGACAGTCGATTGCGGCCCCCCCCCTCGGAGGCCACGATCCTCGTGAGGGGTGTCGAAAAATTGCCTGGTCCAGCATCTCTGACCCGACCCTCCCAGGACCCTCCGGGGACTTGCCCGGGGTACTTTTCGCCTGGGGACCCCAGGGGCCGTCCCGCGCGCGCGAACTAGAAATAGTGTTAACCAGTTACCGGAGATCTTAGCACGCCTCTGGCCCGTTGTGCCAGCGAATTCTTTCTTCTTCCCTTATGTGTTGTTTTCCTCTTCCTCTTCTTCGTTCACGCCTTAATTGCCCCGCGAACCCTTCCACGTCATCCTCAGATTTGGTTGCGGAGGCCCCTCGCGAATTTTTTTCAAGGTGTCCCTTCTGGAAACGTCCCTGGCGCGTTTTGGCGGCCTCTGGGGCGAAGTCACTCGGGTCACCGTGACGCGAAGTGTAGTCTCGGGTCACGATTTGAATGCTTCCGGAGGGCATCCTGGAGCAATTTTGGGCCGTCATGCGCCCTTTTTTTGGCAATTTCTCAGCCCTCTTGGGCCGTCTTGGGGCTCTCTTCGAGTGTCCGGAAGCGTGTTTTGGTTGTCTTGGAAAGGTTTTCGGTGCCTGTAGGGCATTCGCGGACGCCCAGAAGACCGAGTAGCCGATCGCAGCCCAAAAGCATCGAGGCCGTTTGAGGATGATATTTTGGCCGTCCTCTGGCGTTTGGTGGGGGCCCAGGGCCGCTGCAGGCCATTTTGGATCGTGGTGGGGGTCTCTTGGGACCGCCGCCGGGCACATCTGCACAGCTTGGCAAAGACTTCCAGAGGCCCGGGGATCTCGCGGGACCCTCTGGGGGGACGCGCAGGGTCCCCAAACGCCAGGGATCCCGTTTCGGGGGGACATTCCACATCCCTGGATCGAGGAACAACTATGTATATATATATATACACACATACATCTCTACATTATGTGTACTATATATATATACACATACACATCGACATGTGTATACTTGTGTATACATAAGTATGTATGTAAATCCATCCGTCTTTCCCAAGGAAGGGGGGATCACAATGGGGGAGGAGGGGTAGGATGAGGCGTCGGGGGGGGGAGGCCAGCAACGATGACCTGCTGGCGGCCCGAGGCGACCGTCGCGGCCCTAAACGCCGCCGTCGCGGAGCTCAACGTATTCGCACCCGCGCCGCTTGCGCCGAGATTTGCGTACGACGCGCCAGAGGACAGGGGGAAAGGGGGAGGATGGGGATTCGGGGCTTTGTCGCTGGCCCTCTTGCCGAGGAAACGCAGGCATGGGTCACAACGCGGCTGGACGAGCGACGAGTACCACTTTCATGCGGAGTCGGCGCGCTCCTTCGCCAAATCCACTGGCAGGTGCGTCATTTTGGGGGCGATGGCTTCCCCGATCCGTGGATCTGGCGCCCACGCGCCGGATCCACGGATCCCTAATTCATGCTTGCTAGGGGCTAGGGTGTGTTTGACGATTGTTGTTGGCCTTCTCCGGTGTGTGTCCAGCACCGTTGAGAGAAACACAGCGTTTCGCTGCGATGGGCCCCCCCTCGAAGGTTTTGGCCAGGTTTGGGGGGCCTCTCTCCCTTCATCCTCTGATGCGTGCGCATGGGGGGACTCAGGGCGCAGGTGATGGGCATCAGCCCCAGCGGGGGTCAGCTAATCCCTCTTGAAGCCGACTTCCTCCCCACTCCTTTCTCCCTCCTAGCCTCATTCCCCATTATTCCTGGCGTTCGCCCTCTCCTCGTTAGCCCCTCCCCCCCTCGGAGGAGTAGGCGGGAGGATACCTCTTCGAGAGCGACTGGCACAGGATCCACCGTGCAGGGCATTTCCTGTGTTGTGGCCTCTGTGGGGCACAGGTGGCTTTGGGGTCTCCCAGGTAGGTTGCCCTCGGCACCCCCGAACCCAGCCCGTCTGCGAGCCAGGGACTGGCTTGCCGTGGGCAAACATCCGGCGTCAGGCGTTCCCTTCTGACCCGTGATGTGGGGGGGGGGCCTGTCGGGTGCCGCCCAGTTCGTCTGAGCCGAGTTGGCGCCGTCAAAAAATATCGATGGCCTCCCCTCCCCGATGATCATTTTCTGTCGAATGCTATCAGCCTGGAGTGATGGTGTCGAATCACGCTCCCTCTTTCATCTTAAGTCGTTGCCGTCGCGTTCTCGGATGCTTCGACGTCTTATGCTGCGTCCTGCGTCCTGCGCTCCTCCGCCCCATCGCCTTCCTCCCCTCCCTTCTCTCGGGGCCCCTCCGCCCAATCCCACCCCATGACAGCGCCCGTGCTGCCATGATGTAGCCGCTCGCTTGCCAGCCCTTCCTGCGCAATGGTCGATCTTTCCCGGCTTGGGGCACCTGCCCGGGCCAGGCGAAAATGCACCGCCCCCCGAGGGGCCGCCGTCGTGTTCCTGTCTTGGCGGAGCCGCGGGGCCGGCGGCCAGCGCCCAGCAGGCCCAGACCCCCTCGGGCCATAAAAGTCACGACGGGAGGTTTGTCCCTATTTTCGGCGCACGCGGGCCCTTCCGTACCCTGCCCCGAGACCACTAAAACACGATTCGGGATGTAACACGTGTGTCCATCTCCAGGACATCTTGGAGTTTCGGGCGCCCTTCCCCAACAACCCGAGGAGCCCTGGATGTGGACAGCAATGTTACCCATGGAGGCTTGATTTTTGTCCATGTCCAGTGCGCCTCGGCTCAAGACGAAGTGGATATGGAAATAGATATTGCCCGCAACTGCATACGCTGATATGGGCTTGGAGCTGCTTCGCGGCCGTCCCGAGTTCGCGACACGCCCCTGACTGAACCGCGTCAGCGCGTTCACCGAGGATGAGAGGAGGAGGAGGAGGAGGAGGAGGAGGAGAAGGAAGAGGAGGAGGTGAGGAGGAGGAAGAGGAGGAGGAGGAAATGAGGAAGGCCATGAGCGGGAGGCCCAGGGGAGAGTGAGGAGTAGGATCAGCGGAGCGGTCCATGGGGGCAGGAGGAGGAGGAGGAGGAGGAGGAGGCGCGGGGAGCCGATTAGAAGAGGGAGGAGAGGAGACAGGAGGAGGAGGGAGGAGGAGGAGGAGGAGGAGGAGGAGGAGGAGGAGGAGGAGGAGGAGGAGAAGGATGAGGAAGCCAAATCTAGGAAACATGTCCTCCGCCTCTCTCCCCCGCGGCTCTCTGCAGAACGCGGGCGAAGGGGATGCGTTCGGATCGAGGTTTCCCACCCCTTCGCCCCCCCCGCTCCTCCGACGCAGGAAGCACCTGCGAGTGGCCCCGTGGGCCGCGAGCCGCCCCAATCTGCAACTGGATGTGGCACGCGGCTCCGCCACCAAGGCCGGCCTCAGGGGGGCCATGCGCCGACCCCTCCCCGCCAGGCCCCAGGTGGCCCCAGCGAGAAGCAGCAGCAGTCCTGCTGACGGATGCTGAGCTCGCTGGCCCTCCCCCCCCTCCCCCCCCGCCTCGCCCTTCCGCCACCATCTCTCTCCCTCCGCCTCGGCTCTTTTTCCCGCAGTCCCCGCCGCCCGCCTTCCCCCCAAGGCCTACGACGGAGGCTGGCGCCCCCGTGCCTTCGAGGGCGGTGACGCCAGGGAACGGGGCCCACCAGCAGGGCGAAGGCAGCCCCAGAAACTCCAGTCGTGATCCCTCTCATCTCCGCCCCCTTCCTCCGCCCCCCTTCCGTTGCCGCCGCCGCCGCTGCTGCCGCCGGCCGCACCCCGAGGAGAAGGCGGAGAGCGCGCTGCCGCGCCAGAGCCAGGAGAGGGCCGACCCCTGCACCCGGCGTGCGTCCTCGGCCCCCGCCGCGCTCGAGGGCCTGCACCAGGAGCGGGGCCGGAGCCGTCGTCGTCGTCGTCGTCGTCGTCGTCGTCGTCGTCGTCGTCGTCGTCGTCGATGTCGTCGTCGCAACCCAGCCTGAAGGAGTACGGCCGCTCAAGGGCGGCTCGGGGAGTTCACGGCGTGGGCGGAGACGGGGAGGGAGGAGGGAGGCGGGAGGGAGGCGGGAGGAGGAGGGAGGCGGGAGGAGGAGGGAGGAGGAGGGAGGAGGGAGGAGGAGGGAGGCGGGAGGAGGAGGGAGGGGGAGGGAGGCGGGGGGAGGCGGGGCCGGCGGAGGGTGGAGGATGGGCGGGAGAGGGGGGAGCGGAGGGTGAAGCAATCGACGGATCCAGGGCTGGTGGCTCGACAAGGTCGAGCAGCAGGAGGTCTGGGAGGAAGAGGAGGAAGAGGAAGAGGAGGAGGAGGAGGAGGAGGAGCCTCCTCGTACTCCTCGTTCTCCTCGTCCTCCTACCCTTTTTCATTCCTCCTCTTTAAATTCCTCTTCGCCCTGCTCCTCCGCCTCCTTACCTTGGCTCAAGGTTGCCCCCCTCCCTCCGCCTCCTCTCCCGCGCCCTCCGCCTCCCTGCCCCCCCGTGCCTTCCTAGAAGCCAGTCGCTCCTTGCAGCAATGGCGGAGGGGTTCGCACTTGTTGCCGACATTCAGCAGCTCATGATAACACGGCATCAACATAAACTTCAGGCGCTCCGCGGGGATTTCTTGGATCAGCGCTGGGCCCCCCTGGCGGCGCCTCCGACGCCGCCCCTGGCGCGCTCCGCGCGCCAGGGAGGGGGGTCCAGCGCAGATCCAAGAAATCCTGCGCGGAGCGCCAAACATTTGCGTTATTTTTTCTTATGCATGAGCTGGACTACCAGCACCCTCTACTCCAACAAGGATGTCTTCTGACCAATGCGTCCAGCGCCCTGGACAAGATTTGGTGCGAGTCCATGACGGACCCAGACAAAATCCTGGCAAAGCTGAGCCATGCCAATATCGTCCCCAACAATACCAAGTCCGTTACGTATTGCGATCCATGATCCTAGAATCGGCATGGCCAAGTGCGAATTGATTCACAATGCTGGCACCACCACCAAGTCCAGCATTAAGACATCATGGAGGTCAATGTTGCTAGTGGCGAAATCTCCAAGACAGGGTAGTTCCAGGCTGGCTTCTGCCCCGCGTATTTAGTGTCGGGCAGGTGCGCGTCTACGACGACGTGCAGAACATCTTGGAGTCTGGAGCCAGCGGCTTCCAGCTAGAGTCTCCGTCGCAGGCTAAAACGAATCTCGATCGATTGTACTCTGGGCCTCCTCTCCCCACTTTCTCCTATTTGAGCAATTCCGATGTTTTCGGGGCCGGTCGATTGGAGGCGACCGCCGTTTTTCATTGTTCATGTTTCGTGGCCAAAGCGCCCTCTTGATTTCAACCCCATCGACTTGACCTGTAGAGCGAGAGTGGTCGATCCCACTGCAGTAGGTGACGCCCAACTCTAGGCGCGCTGTGGAGGCCGGCGTTCAGACTCACATTCTTGGCGCTGCATGCTTCGTCTGGGCAACCTCCCAGACTCCCAGAGCCACTGCCCCCATTCCTACATCAAGCTTGCTTCTGCCAACATGCCCACAGCAGTTTGAGCCGAAAAGGTTCCACTCTGGGCCGAAGAAGCTGCCCGGGCGGATCCTCAATCATTGCATGCTCTCCGAAAGATGCTTGCACTGAGAATGGCCAGCACTCGGAAACCCTCCTCCGAGGAGGAGGGGAGGAGTGGCAGCGGGCGCAGACCAGGGGCAAGGGTAGGTAGATGGAAGCATTGGCAAACGGCCCTGGGGAGGAGGAAGCGGAGGCGGAGGAGGAAGAGGCGGAGGAGGTGGAGGAGGAGGCGGAGGAGGAGAAGGCGGAGGAGGAGGAGGAGGCGGAGGGGGAGGAGGAAGAGAAGGAAGATGAGTAGGGGGAGGAGAAAGGGGAGGAGGGGAGGATCAGTTGGTGTAAGAGTAGGAGGAAGGAGAGGGGAGGGGGAGGAGGAGGAGGAGGAGGAGGAGGAGGAGGAGGAGGAGGAGGAGGAGGAGGAGGAGGAGGAGGAGGAGGAGGGGGAGGAGGAGGAGGAGGAGGAGGAGGAGGAGGAGAGGAGGAGGAGGAGGAGGAGGAGGAGGAGGAGGAGGAGGAGGAGGGAGAGAGGAGGAGGAGGAGGAGGAGGGAGGAGGAGAGGAGGAGAGGAGGAGGAGGAGGAGGAGGAGGAGGAGGAGGAGGAGGAGGAGGAGGAGGAGGGAGGAGGAGGAGGAGGGGAGGAGGAGGAGGAGGAGGGGAGGAGGAGGAGAGGAGGAGGAGGAGAGGAGGAGGAGGAGGAGAGGAGGAGGAGGAGGAGGGGGAGGAGGAGGAGGAGGAGGAGGAGGGCCCTTCCCCGGAGGGCGGAGGAGCGACTCCACCACCGCCAGGGCGGGGCGCCTCCGGCGAGGAGGCCCACGCGTTGCCTCCCCGAGGGGGAGCACAGAAGGGCGAGAGAGGGGGGGCCTTCGCCGCCGGGGGGGCCTCCCCCTGGCTCCTCCCGGTGCTGGGCCCTGGTAGTGTCAAGTCGGGCCTGGGCCTGCCCCTCTACAGGGGGGATGTTCAAAAATAGTGTGTGTGTGTGTGTGTGTGTATATACATATAGTCAGGGGACTATTTTTTGAGTGCGTTTTTGGCAATTTTGGAGCATGTTTTGAGTATTTCTTGTTTTTCGTCGAGATTCCCCCTGTAGGGGGACACGCCCGACTTAATGGTAGTAGTGGCAGCTCGTTACTACCCTCCCGGCTCATCCTCGTGGCCTCTTTTCTCGGGGGTCCCCAAACGTTGTGGTGACCACACCGTGCGGTGAGTCGGTGGGGATTCGGGGTCGCCGCACGGTTTTGGGGCTCGGGTCGTTCTCCGAGGATGTCTCGGGCGACGGGGGCCTCCAGGGTCCCAAAACCGTGCGGTGACGGACCGTGCGGTGAGGTCTTGGGGGATGTCAAGGTCACCGCACGGTCCGTCACCGCACCGTTTCGGGACTCCAAATTTTCCTTGTCGTCGTTGCTCGCCCTGCTCTTCTTCAGAGGAAGCCGAATCGAGGCAGCGATCGTTGGCCTCCGGGTTGGGGCCCTCGTCGCCAGGGCTGCACTCAGCTCGGGAACCTGGCGCATGTGGACCCAGGGTTAGGTCGGGCATGTCCGTCTACAGGAGGAATAGTCAAACATAAAATAATAACCGGGCGAAAAACCATATGCAGTTGTGGGTACCGTGGTTGTATGCACCGCATTCGGAAGGGCTCACTAGGGGGCCACGAAACGTGTGAGGGTGTGCCAATGTGCGGTGGCCGCATGCGAAGGCTGGCATTTGGGCTTTCTGTGGGGCTCCCTATGGGGCCATGAAACGTGTGAGGAGTGTGCCAACATGTGCGCGGTGGCTGCATGCGAACGCTGGCATTTGGGCTTTCGGTGGGGCTCCCTATGGGGCCATGAAACATGTGAGGAGTGTGCCAACATGGGCGCGGTGGCCGCATGCGAACGCTGGCATTTGAGCCTTTTCGGTGGGCTGTCTTGGCTCCCTATGGGGCCACGAAGCGTACGAGGGGTGTGCCAAAATGGGCGCGGTAGCCACACGCGAACGCTGGCATTTGGGCCTTCGGCGGGGCGCTCTATGGGGTCATGAAACGGGTGAGGGGTCTGCCAAAATGGGTGCGGTGGCCGCATGCGAACGCTCGCATTTGGGCCTTCGGTGGGGCTCCCTATGGGGCCATGAAACGTGTGAGGAGTGTGCCAACATGGGCGCGGTGGCCGCATGCGAACGCTGGCATTTGAGCCTTCGGTGGGGCGCCCTATGGGGCCACGAAACGTGTGAGGGTTGTGCCAGAATGGGTGCTCTGGCCGCACGCGAACGCTGGCATTTGGGCCTTCGGCGGGGCTCCCTATGGGGCCACGAAGCGCATGAGGGGTGTGCCAAACTGGGCGCGGTGACGCTGACACGTGGGCCTTCGGTGAGTTGTCTCCCTATGGGGCCACGGAACGTGTGAGGGGTGTGCCAAACTGGTCGATAGGTTCGGAGGGCAGAGGCAGAGATCGGAGGAGGAATGGGAGGGAGGAGCGGGAGGAGCGGGAGGAGGAGAGATCGGAGGAGGAGTGAGGACGCGGGGCGCTGTCTCCTCAAATCGAAGACCCAACACCACAGGATGGTTGGGAAACAGTCTGGGGACGATGTGTTGTGTATATTGTTTCGTGTTTCGCCCAAAATCCCCCTGTAGGGGGACATGCCCGACCGAAGCCCAAGGACGGGTCCAGGGACCGATTGCGAGCCGCCGTTGTCTCATGTCGCCCTGCTCCCACTGCTGCCTGCCTGCCCGTGGTCGCAGTCGCGCTCTCCCCCCTCCGCTCGTCGTCGTCGCCTGTTTTGTCCGTCGTCGATGCTCGCCCTGCTCTTAAGTCGGGCATGTTTTTCTACAGGAGGAATACTCAAAAATAGGAACATGATCGGTACGATTTTGAGCATTGTGTAATATTTGAGCATTGTGTAATGGTTTTTCTTCCAACATCCGCCTGTAGGGGGGCATGCCCGACCTAACCCTGCTCCTCTCCTGCGTGCTTCCTCGTCGTCCCCGTATTCGCCCACCTCGCCCTTTTTTCCGACCATGTAAGCAATGCACCCATATCATTTCATTACAACGATTTCCCCAGATGTTGTGCACCGTATTCGAAAACATCGAAGCACCAACATGAAACACGACATCCTCTTCTTCGTCGTGACCTGCATGGTTGGCGGTTTCGCTTTGGCTTCCACGGTGGCCTTCACGAGTGTTTGCTCGTGCCCGAGGGTGTTTACGTTGGCTCGTCCACCGCCCTCGGTGTTCGTCATCCACCTCTCCTCCTTGGCCTGCGTACGTGTGCATGCGAGTTAGGGGTTCACACTTCTTGCGACGGGATCTATTAGATGAACAGATCATTTGCCATCATTTTGTCAAGACATTCGAATCGTCCATCGATGCGTGCTTCTGCCCCAGACGCCGATGTAAAACAAAACCGTGGCCTTCGTCCGTCTCTTCCTCCCCTGTGCTTGCCCCCTTCCGCCTCGTCTGTACAGCGTACTTCTTCATCCCCCACCTCCCCCATCTTCCGCCCTCACCGCTCTTATCCATGGACCCCCTCCCCCTGCCACCTTTCATTTCCTTCCTCGCTGCTCGCTTCTCGCATCCTCCCCGCGCCTCTTCCCTCTCGCCTTGTCTAGCTTCTCCTCGCACCTCGCTCTCTCCTCGCTCACTCGTCGCTCCCTGTCCTGGCTCAGCTCTCCTGGCTCCTCCCCCGGGGCGGCGTGGTCTGGAGGATTGGGTGGCTTACATGGCCTCGCAGATGACCAGCAGGTACACGTGGGTGTCTCAGAAGTTTTCGCAGGATGGGGGGGCATGTCGGCGCATTCTATCCGCCCTTGGCTCATCCTCGTCTTCTCTCCCAGAGATCTGAACGCTCTTTTGTTCACGCGGGGCGTTTTGACCCAGATTCTGCAGCAGGAGCGATTGCTCACGTCACTCCCCGCCGGTGTGTGCGCTCTTGTGGCTATTCTTGAGTCGGGCATGCCCCTCGACAGGAGGAGTATTCAGACATCGTAGAAGATAGTATGGGGACGATGTTGTCAGTTGTTCTTGACTATGTTTGAATATGTTTCAAGCTGTTTTCATTTTTCATCCAAGATCCGCCTGTAGGGGCTACCCCAGATATCATATTTTTTGCGCGTACGATATCTGGCAGCTTTCAGGGCCAGAGCGTTTTTGCGAGGCGTCCTGCCCTGTCAGTCCTCTTGCGGGCTCCATCTTGCGGGTGGGGCGTCGACCAGACATATCCTTTTCAACGAGTGGCACGCGTCCAGGACATGGTATGTTGGACGACACGGGTGGCTAAGAGCAGTTTGTGCAAAGACAGGTGGGTTTGACAAGGGCGGACAGACCTGGACACATTATGCCATTCACGCGCATTGGCACTCAAGTTCATCGTTACAGTGTGTGAGAATTGGCTGTTGTGTGCCCATGATGATTGTACTTGGAGCGCTGTTGCATAATATTGATTGTCGCGGGGCACAGACGCAGACATGCTCGCACAAAGAGACATAGCTTTCCTCTGACGCTCCAGTGACTCCAACTAGCGGGACATGATCACTCGAAACCCTAGCACCGAAAAAAACGAAACACCGATCCATGAGCGGAGTGCGCGAGGAGAGGGCGACACACCCGAAGCCGCCCCAGGAAAACGAGCAGCGGGGGCCCACCGCACAGGAACACGCGCACGCACACACTTTTTGGCGGTCGCGGCCTCGTGCGCGGCGACGAGGCGGAGAAAGTCGAGCGAGCAACACGGAACTAGCGCGCGCGGCTGGGTCTTCAGACGAGGAATCCCATGGGATCGACCGCGCCATAGGCCATCCGGGCGTGGGCGGGAGAGAAAGTGTGACACGCACACAGAGACGAACACAAACGCACATACATACATACATACATACATACATACATACATACATACATACATACATACATACATACAACATACATACATACATACATACATGCATATGTTTTAAAGATTCACCTGCCCTCTGACGCGCTGAAGAGACTGGCCAGTCAGCAGTGTGGACGATGGCGTGCTTCGCTTACACTGATTCGCCCCATTCATGATGCCACGTTGAAGAATTGCAAGGTTCCTGGGCTAACTTGACAGAATGCCGTGACACTGGAGCAGCGCGCAAAGGTGGCAGGGAAGGACTAACCGGTCAGACAGGCTTTCGCGCACACGCGCACATACGCAAACGCCCTCACGCCCGCGCACGCACGCCCGTTGTTCCATGAATCTGGTAGGGTTCCTCTGCTCACCGGCACGCTGCTTGCGCTTAGGCTTTCTCGAGCCGTCGGGCGGTGCCACCAAAAAAACAAAAAGTGACATAAACATAAAAATTCGGAGGTCCGCGCGGATTTCTCAGATCGGCGCTGGGGCCCCCTCCGGCGGCGCCTCCGGCGCCGCCCCTGGCGCGCTGCTCCGCGCGCCAGGGAGGGGGCCCCAGCGCCGATCCGAGAAATCCGCGCGGACCTCCGAGTTGTGATGCTTATGCCACTTCTTGTTCCCCTGTCGTGGGCGCCCTGTGATTGCCTCGTGCGTCAGCTGGCGGTCCCGGGCTCTCCGCTCCCTCGCCGCTGCCGCGGGCGCTCGGGGAGCACCTCGCGCGCTGGCCGGCGGCTCTGGGCTCTGACCCGGTCGCCCGCGCGCGGCCGCCCTGCGGGCGCCTCGTGTGCGCCTGGTTTTGGTGGTCGCCCGCGTGGGCGCTCGCGCGCTGGCCAGCACGAGGCCGTCCCTACAGGGGGATTTTTGACGAAATATTCAAAATACATCAAAAGTACACCAAAAAAGCTGGAAAAATACACCCAAAATAGTCCCCATATTATTTTTGGATAATTTGTTTGACTATTTTGGGGGTATTTTTCATTTTTCGTTGAAAATCCCCCTGTAGGGGGACAGGCCGGACTTAACACGAGGCCGTTTTGCACCTGGTGGCCGCCCGGTGTCACCTCGTGGGCGCCCAGGCTGCACCCTGTGGTTTTAGGGGAACAAAGTGAGATAAGCATAAAAGCTCGGAGGTCCGTGCGGATTTCTCGGACCGGCGCTGGACCCCCCTCCCTGGCGCGCGGAGCGTGCCAGGGGCGGCGCCGGAGGCGCCGCAGGAGGGGGCCCCAGCGCCGATCCGAGAAATCCGCGCGGACCTCAGAGTTTTTATGTTTATGCCACTGGTTGTTCCCCTAGGTTTGCACCACGCAGGTTTCCACCACAGCTCGCACCGCATTGATTTGCGCTGAAGAAGACTGCACGACGAGAGCGCAGCACACAGTTATGGTGGGAACAGGCGCTTGCGGGCCCGCGTCCATCTCGGCACACACCTCACGCGGACTGCGCCCCAGGTGTACGGCACGTTGCACTGCGGTGTACGGCCACGTTGCGGTGCACGCAGCTGCTGTGATATGCGCAGGCCCCCTGGTGTACAACAGCGATGTAGTGTAAGCAGGCACTTAGCTGTGCAATGGAGTTTTTCCGCACTCGGGTGCTGGTGCACAGAGGCGTTAATTAGGTTGTACACAGGCGATGTGGCGCCATGGTGCGCCCGGGTGCTAGGGTGAACAGAGGCACAGTGGTGTGCGCAGGCGCTGTGGTGCACGCAGGCGTTGTCGTCCGTAAACGCAATTATCGTGGTGCACAGGCGTTTGTTGTGCTGGTCTTGCGGGCGCGCCTTCGGGGGTGCACCCCGGCCGCCGTTTATGTTTATGTCCTCCCCCTGCCGTCCCCGCCCCCCAGGCAACACGCGTTGCCCCGAGTGGATACAAGATCAATTCCGGACGACGACGACGACGACGACGACGATGACGAGACCGGTGAGGACGACGACGACCGCGACGACGAGACTCGTGACGACGACGACGACGAAGACGAACACGAGACTCGTAAGGACGACGAACGGCGGCGGCAGCGCCCACGAGGGCCGCCCTGGGCGACGGCAGTGACGTCGACGCGGGCGGCCACAGCACCGCCGGCAGCGGCGGCGCTGGCGCCGGCGCCGGCGCCGGCGACGGCACCCAGCAGCAGGGCTGGACCTAAACGCTGTTTTTCAGAGCGTGAATTACCTACCCCGCTTTCGCTTCCAGGCAAAACCAAGTCATACCGCGCGCCTCCTCGTCAAGCGACCTGACCAGTACAGGCTGCAATTTGGCATCGCTTGGTATCTCTTGGAAGCGAGGGTGGTCAAAAGCGAGGTAGGTTTGTTTGCCCCCTACTAACGCTGTGTTGCTGGACTTCGGCCGTGTTTTGTTCCTCGCTTTGGCAGGTGGAGCAGCACGAACAACATGGCGAAACCACACCGAACCCAAAGCGAAAAACGAAACGAAAAGCAGCACGAAAAACATAACGAAAACGAAAGGAAACATAGCGTTCAGGTCCAGCCCTGCGCCCGGCAGGAGGCGAGGCAGATCGACAGCGCCAGGGGCGACCAGTCGGCGTGCCCCCGCTCGGGCCGCCCGCCGCACGCGGCTCTACGCACACGCCGGGCCCGGCGTCGACGTCGTCGTCGTCGTCGACGTGGTCGTCGCCGTCGTCGTCGTCGTCGTCGTCGTCGTCGAGGTCGACGTCGTCGCAGACGTCGACGTCGTCGTCGTCGTGGTCGTCGTCGTCGTCGTCGTCGTCGTGGTGGTCGTCGTCGTCGTCTTCTTCGTCGTCGCAGACGTCGTCGCCGTTGATGTCGTCGTCGTCTTCTTCGTCGTCGCAGACGTCGTCGACGTCGACGTCGTCGTCGTCGTCTTCGTCGTCGTCGTCTTCGTCGACGTCGTCGTCGTCACCGTTGCCGTCGCCGCTGTCCTCAGCGTGGCCTCTGCCGTCGTGGCCTTCATCGACATAGTCTCCAGTCGTGGGCGCCGGATCGTGGCTCGGAGGTCGACGTCCCAGGTTCGAGGTGTCGGCGCCGGAGGGTCGAGGGTCCAGGTGTTTGGGGCGCTCTGCGCCCTCACTTCGTGCTTGCCCGCCTGCTCGACGTAGCCGCCGGGGCCCGCCTGCGCTGCCCGCCCGTGAGGGTCTGCCCGCTCGACCTGCCCTGTCAGCCCCCTCCTGCTGCTCTCTCGTGTGCTCCCTCCTTTTCCTACGGCAGGTTTGCGTCGTGTCGACCAGCGGCGACCCCAGCGCGGGCGTGCAAGGTTGAACGCCGCCAGCGACCCAGGATCGATCGATGTTGAACGATCGGACGTTGCGGCAGCGGCCGATCGTTCAAGGTTGAACGATCCCTGCGGTGTCAAAAACCAACGCTGGGGTCGGCACGACACGAACCTGCCGTACCCCCTTTCATCCGTCCTCTCGTCCCCTGTTTTCGGGGCTGCGCTACACACACGTGGCAGGTGAGGAAGGGGTATATCCCCAAGGGGGTACGATCGAAGACGAAGAGGGCGGGTACCGAGGGATTGGGATACACGGGTTGAGTGCACGCGAGCAGATCGGAACGATCAGTCTGAAAACGATTGCTCTTGAGGTTGTTGCTGTTGAAAAAGAAGCAGAAGAATTTGCATGTTGAAAGAATACTTAGTTCTGGTCCCCCCTCCCAGTGCCCATTCCTGCTTTCCCACTGAAGTGCTTCTCCCGGGGCTCGCACCCAGTTTTTAACAAGGGAAAGACTTGGGGCTCATATTTGGCCCCTGGTCTACATGCAGGAATCGCACTCTCGCGTAGGACTTCCTCGCAATGTTTTCAGACGCTGCACCCTCGACACTCCGGAATCACGCGTTACTTGGGAGTCGCGCTGTCTCTCGAGATTTCCTCGCGATTCACGTAGGACTCAGTCACGCTTCAGCAACCTGCTGCTCGACCTGGCCGCCTGGACCCCCGCCGTCCCCACCCGCCCGTAGGGTTAAGTGTGGCGTGATCCCCTACAGGAGACATGTTGCAAAATACAGAAAATAATAGGGGGGCTTTTTTTGGCAGTGTTTGATTAGTTTTGAAGATTGTACGGGAATTTGCATTTTTCGTTTAAGATCCGCCTGTAGGGGGACATGCCCGACCTAACGTTAGGGTCTACCCACCCGATCTGCCCTTCTGATTATACCACGTGGTTTCTCCTCCTAGCCCCCACCTGCAAATCCCCTTCGTGCTCCATCCTTCGTTTCCCCCTTCCGTCCTCTCCTCACCTGTGTTCGGAAATGCGCTACACACGCGAGGCAGGTAGGGGAAGTATTCCTCCAAGCGGGTACGATCGCAGACGCGGTGGGCTGTTATCGAGGGTTTGGGATATACGTGCTGAATGGCACGCGACCAGATAGGAACGAACAGTTTTCAAGGCTAATGTTGTTGGTTTTGTTGGTCGTGGTGTTGGTGTTGTGGTTGTTGTTGTTGCTGCTGGTGTTGCTGTTGCTGTTGCTGTTGCTGTTGCTGTTGCTGCTGCTGTTGCTGTTGCGGTTGCGGTTGTTGTTGTAGTTGTTGTATTTGTTGTTGTTGTTGTTGTTGTTGTTGTAGTTGTGTTTGTTGGTGGTTGTTGGTGTTGTTCCTGCTGCTGTTGATGTTGTAGTTGTTGTTGCTGGTGGTGTTGCTGCTGCTGCCGTTTTGTTGTTGCAGTTCTTGCTTTCTCATTCCTAAAGGAATTTATTGCTGACCCCCCCACCTAGGGGACACATGTTTTGTGTCTCAATTGAAGTGCCATTCCCGGGACTCGCACCTTGTTGCTTTTTACCCGGGAAGGCCTGCATTTGTTCGACAGAAAAACGGGCGCACTGGCTCGCTCTTGCCTCCCGACCCCCCCCCCTTTGCCTTCCATTGGCGGCCGGGCGTCGGCGCTAATCACTGGCGCCGCCCCGTTGATTTTCAATCTGGCGGGCGCCGCCCCGCGATGCGCCCGAGCGGGGGAACTATTTTTTCACACGCGCCCCCCACGGATTTGTGAATAACAAGCTGGCACAGGACGGTCAAAGGGGTACGATCGAAAACGAAGAGGGCGGGTATCGAGGGTTTGCGATGTACTGACGTGTTGAAAGGCATGCGAGGAAATACGAGCAAACTGTGTTAACCTTAGTGTTGATGCTGGAGTTGTCGAGCCACTATTGTTAATCATTTGTGATTGCTGGACACCCTGACTGCGCTCCCGCGCTGTCGCTAGGCGCTGGCTGCATTTCCTTGGGAAATCAGGCTCACGTTCAGGCGTTTCTGGGTTACCCCAATAGCGGCCCCCAAACAACAAGAACAACAACAATCCGTTTAAGACTGTTTGCTTGCACTTGCACGCGAGTTTAGCATTCCGTATACCCCAACCCTCGATACCCGCCCACTTCGTCTTCGATTGTGCCCTTTTTCGGGAGGAGTATATTACTTGTCGGCCACTGATTGAAGTGCGAAGAAGTGTCGAGCGAAAGCACCGTTCGTGAGTTCGGGGGCTTCTCTGGCCAGGGGCTGTCGGAATACCCATGGAGAAATACCGAACGGGAGCCCGTGTCGCCGTGTCCGGGCCTCCACCAATTTGCCTGAATTACGGGAGCGTTTCGAGCGAGAGTGCCGGTCCTTGAATTCGGGGGCCTTTTTGGCCAGGGGCTGTCGGAGTAAATCGTGTGGTAATATCGAGCAGGAGCCCTTGTCGTCGTGGTTGGGCTTCCGCCGACTTAGTTGAATTGCGAGGAAGTCTCGAGCGAGAGCGGTGTTCCTGAGTTCGGGTGCCTCTCGGGCCAGGGTGTTTAGGGGTAGCTTGTGAGGAAGTATCGAGCGGGAGCCGTTGTTGTCGTAGTTGGGCCTCCAAGGGCCCACACTTTAGGCCCAAGCCAACGTTCGAGCGGGAACCACAGTTTTCAGAGAAAATGTAGTCAGCTTCGAGGCGAGCGCGCGGAACCGCTTCCGGAAATCAGCATTAATTTTGGTTGGAAATGAATGAATTTTCAACAGCAACAACGCTCCGGTTCGATACTTCCTCCACTTTCACTCGGGGCCAGGTATGTTGCTCGCTTCCCGAAGCCGCCTTTCCAACATAATCGGCGTTCCCGCTCGATTTTTCCGCGCTTTTCACCTCAGGACCAGCGCTCCCGCTTCAGGACCACCGACAAATAACGACGCTCCTGCAAGACACTTCTCCCGTTTCTACTTAAGACTCCCAGGAGACCCTGAGGTGTCCCTAGTCCCTGTTGGACTTTACGTCCTAATCAATTATTGGTTACGCTTCGCGGGTCCCCACCAGCCACCACCAGCTTGGTATTCGGCGCTTTTCCGGCGGAGCAGCTCAGCTGGCAACGCACGCCGATGGCGCGGCTTGGGTTTGGCGCCCCACTGGCGACGGCCCATCGTTTACCACGTCTGGCCGCCACAGCGCGTAACACTGAATTCCCTGGCATTTTGCCGCAGGGCTGCACGTTGCTTGAGCTTCCCTGGGCGTTCCAGTTCAGCCAGCCAGCCCCCCGCTGCCGCTGCCCCAGCTGCCGCGTTTGTGAGCTGGCCCGGCCGGCTCGTGCTGCGCTCAGTAGCTAATTAGGTTTGCCCGTCGGCCCGGACAACTTCTCTCGCCGCTTGCGCGCTCGCTGGTGGCTGCGACCGAAAAAAGGGTCCCCACCAGCCCATTCAGGAGCCCTGCCCATGAAAGCCGACGGGAAAAGATAGGAAAAGAAACATCTGGTGAAACAGGGCGTACAAGGAGAGGAGAGGGGAGGAGAGGAAAAAGGGTGTTGAGCCAGCTTGGAGGCTATCTTGGAGCATCGGAGGCCTTCTTGGAGCCACGGGGTTGTCTTTGGGGGAATTGGGGTCCTTCTGGGGGCGTTTTGGGGCCCTCTTGGAGCTGTTTTCGGGTGTCTTGGGGTCCTCTTTGGGCTCTTTTGGGGCGCCTTGGGGCCCTCATGGGGCCCTCTTGGGGCTCTCTTGGGGCGCTTTTGGAAGGTATGGGGCCCTCCTGGGGCCATCTTGGGGACCATCGATCAAAGGAGGGTAGTCCTCGATTTGTTCCCCTCCTCCCGTGGCCATGGAATTGGCCTCTTGGGGCCCTTTTAGGGCGATCTTGGACGTTTTTTTGTGGCACTCTTGGGGACCTTTTGGGCCATTGTTGGGCTCTCGCTTGGGCCATCTTAGAGCCAGATTTCAGCCCCAAAAGCGCATCGCAAACGAAAAGGCTAGCAGGCAACAGTTTGTGATTTTGCCGAGGTGTTTGAAGGATCTGGGTTTTTCGGGGGTGTCCTGAGGGGTCGCCAGACGCACCTGGAAGCGTTTTGTGGCCCTCTTGCGGCCTCTTGGAGGCATGTTGCTGGCTATCTTGAGGCAGACTGGGCTATGTTGAGCGATCTTGGAGGCTATATTGGGCGGCCGGCCCTCTTGGGGCCATCTTGGGCAAGAAAGGGCCCTCTGACACATCGCGGCCTCCCCCGTCCAGGTCGAGGGGAGGATATCGGGGGAGGGGTCAAGCTACCCACCCGCCCGCAAACCCTCTAGCTCACTCCCACCCGCCCTCCCAACACACGAGTAACACCTGAGCCTGAGCATGTTCAGCGGTTGTCTTTGGAT